CACTACTGAACCGCGCAGCATGGTGATCACGGAGGTGCTCACCTCAAAGTTGTTGGCTGGGACTTGAGGGTGTTGAATGGGTGACCTCATGTCCGCAGCCCTAGCGGTCCAGTAGGATCCCATGGTCTGCTCCCCGGGGTTGATCACCTCGTGGTTCTGCGGATCACCCATCTCTCCTTCTTCTTCTTCTTCTCCTAACTGCAGCTGTGTTAGCGCCTTCTCCGCAGCCAGTCGCGCCTTTACACCCGCTTGGAGTTCCTGCAGGTTCGTTCAAGCTCCTGGTCTAATGGTAGTAGATCTCCCGACTGGCTACGGGTCATGCACTACCTGCACACAATCAGAAGAAGCAACCCGTGAAGGCACACAGGTGGAAGAGATAAAATGCAGTAAATAAAAGCTAGAGTAACAAATTCTCACATTTCCCCAATAATCTAGAGGGTTCCCCGGCAACGGCGCCAAAAACTTGACACGCAAAAACACAACACCAAACTGCGACCAAGTGTAATCGCAGTCCGGGAATGCAGTAATAGGCAAGTTATATTATCAACCCGGGGTCTAGATCTACTGCTTACTCCGTGATTGTCTATTATCTAGCAAACTAATTCGAGTGATTGTTGTTTAAAGCAAAAGCAGTAAGAAAGCAGGAAATGGTTCGGTTTTCAAAAGCAGGTAAGAGTCACTCGGGATTGAGTCCCCCTAGCCCCTTAGTCAGGTTCAATTGCAATTCCCTGGGTTGATTTACTGTTGATTAGACTGCGGAAGATCCGACAGTAGCTTGGAATCTCTTAAGCTGACCAAGCCCTCTCAGTCTAACTACCCGGCAGACGACTAGTCTTCACCGGGATAGAAAGCTGAGGCTATGAACACAGAACTCCACTACTGGCGCCAAGAACACCAGTACAAAGCAGTAAACTGGCTAAATCTTGTATAGCCAATCTCCTACTATCGAATGAAGAGGCTCTAACAACCTAATCAGATTCTATCTATCTCAGGTTGCAGCAGAAATTGAGAAAAGCTGATCAGACTCAAATCAATTCAATAAACATGCATCATACCCAAGTGAGAGAAAGGTTCTACTCCATAGAGAGAGAAAGGAAAACAGAAATCAGAGTAGTCATACTCATAAAGATGAGGAAAATCTGCTCTGGGATGTCAATCTTCACTCCTAGGGACGCAATCTGGGCTTCAATGATGAGAAATCCACTCCAAAATAGCTCCTAGGGTTTGTTCTTCGCTCTTTCTCTCTCTAAAACTCTGTTTTTGCCCAGAAAATCGAATTCTTCTTCCTTGGCTCGAATCTGCCTCCAAAAACCCGACTCTGGGCGAATTACGGGCAGGATTACGGCCGTAATCACTTCCTGCCCGTAATTCACACCAAAACGCACGTTTCACTTAAGCTGCAGGAGGAGGAGATACGCCCGTAATTTCCCAATTACCGCCAGTAATTTGGGAATTACGGCCGTAATTCTTGGGGTCTTGCCCGTAATTTTGCCACCGAGAAGAATTGCTGGGGAGAAGGCTCGGCCATTTAATTACGGGCATGCCCTGGCTAATTACGGCCGTAATTTAGCAGGGGCTGCCCGTAATTCTGTCTATGCTTCGCCATTTGACCTCCAAATGACCCGAAACTTGCGCCTATGCACCACTTTACTTGCTAGGACCTGAAATACGACAAAACAACACAACCTAGCGTAAAATAGGCCAAGAAACAATCAATTCGAGCCTAAATGGACAGGAAACCAGAGTGAAAACACGTGCAAATATGATGCTATCATATACCAAAGGCCAATGTCCCATCGCAGCTATAGCCAGAACACTCCGGACAGTCTCCATTTTTTCCACTGGAGCAAATGTCTCTTCATATACAGTTTCATACTCCTGACTAAAGCCTTGGGCCACCACTCTCTCCTTAAACCTCTTAATACTACCATAATGATTTTTCTTTATATTGTACACTCACTTGATCCCAACTACCAACATATCAGGAGTCCGGTCAACAGCATCCCAGGTCTCATTAGTCTCTAGAGATGTGACTTCATCCATCATGGATGCATCCCATTAAGGAATGCCACATGCTCCATGATAATTAGATGGAATAGGAATGAAACTCGTGGCATACCTAACATAATCTTCATAGCGAATGCGAGGCTGGCCTTTAGTCGCGTGGGAGGAACGACGCGGCAGAGGAGAAGCATCAAAATTATGCCCATCATTATCCCCGACATCATCATCAGAAGAAGAGTGCGAGGTGAACGAAGATGCGGAGGAAGGAGAACTAGGATTAGACAGGGAGGAGGAGGACTCCTCATCCGAGGACGTGTCCATAGAAGGACCAAGAGAGGGACCAGAATTCTCACCATTGGTAGAATGCCCTCCATGAGTCGACTCCCCAACGAGAAGATTTTCAAGAAATGATAAGCTCTTCTTGAATTGATCACGAGAACCAGGACTGGAATGAGAATAATACATCATATGCTCCATAAAAACAACATGATAAGAAATTCGGAGACGCTGATTATCAGGATCGTAACATAGATAGCCTTTTTGGTGATCACTGTAGCCCACGAAAACAAATAGAGCAACCTTCAGAGCCAACTTATGACGCTCCTGGTTTGGCAGAAAAACAAAACACAGGCAACCAAACACTCGAAGGGCGCCATAATCAGGAGGACGTGAGTACAGTTTATGGAACAAAGACGAATTATCCAACACTGGAGTAATCTGCCTATTAATAAGATGAACAACTGTATTAGCAGCTTTTACCCAGAACCGAGCAAGGATGCCAGAAAGAAAGAGAAGCTCCCTAGTCAGCTGACAACCTGTCGATTCTTTCTTTCAACTACATCATTCTGCTGGAAAACTCCCGGACAAGACTGCTGACTCAGAATCTCCTATGAAAGATAGAAGGCAAAAAGATCATTGGTGCTAAATTCCCCACCAGGGTCAGAGCGCAGTACTTTGATAGCTTTCTCGAATTGCATTTTGATAATACGTATAAAATCATGGGCATGAGTAATGAGTTCAGACTTGTGACGCAGAAAATAAATCCATGTATTCCGAGTATGATCATCGATGAACATAAAAAAATATAGAAAACCATTCCTAGAAAGAACCGGGGACCTACCCCAAAGGTCGGTGTGAACAAGATCAAAAGGAGCATCATATAGAGTAGTACTAGAGGTAAACGGGTGTTCAGTTGCCTTAGCTTCAACGCAACTGATGCAGGACCGGGTGAATAAATGAGCTAGCATGAATTTTACCGGGTCATAAATTATGTTTAAACATCTGTAACCGAGCAAAATTAGGATGCCCCAAGCGGCAGTGCCATAAATCCCAAAACATAATGTCGACTATCAGAAGCCAAAGAATCTCTAACAGGAAGGGAAAATAAAGCAGGATCAGGAGCTTTATCCTTATCACTAGTGACCGCACACACTACCTTGCTTCTCCTAGCTCTTTTTTCATACTGCGACATGTACTTGGCTCCAAGGGATAAAGACTATCCATGACATAGACCTGACCAGATTTATGCCATCGGCCTAGCTCCTTCCCCGTTGTCGAGTCCTGCACCAGACAACCACGATTATTAAATCAAATTTCACAACCCTCTTTTGCCAACTGCCCCACGGATATCAGATTAGGCACTAACGTGGAACATGATGAGCATTTTTAAGATGAAGTTGCGACTCGTGCACATGACCAATGCCCGCAACAGGAAGAAGATCGCCATTCACAACTTGCAGACGTTGACACACAGGTTTAATAGAATGAAAAGAGAAGGAATTGTTAGTCATGTGATTAAATGCTTCAGAATCAATAAGACAACGATGAAAATTACCTGAACCAGAACCAACAGAGAACACAAATTATTGGTTATTGACATATAACCGCCCAATTACCCGACATGCTCCATTCATCCATTCACCCTAGTTTTCCCTTTCTCTTTCTTTCTTCCTTAATCCTCTTTGTGGTTCCATCTTTACGTTTTCTTCTCTTCTCTTCTTTCTGATTGCCATAAGAAATCAGAATGGCTCACCGATGATGATTCCGGCGGTGTCAAAGAGGCGGCGAGCTAGTGGAATCGGAGAAGGAAAGCGATGAGTTCGGCAAATGCAAGTCAAACGAGGAGAAAGACCAAACTCAAAGAATGCAAGTCATCGATTGTGCCTCCGCTGCTCAATATGTTCTCAAAGGGATGAAAGATTATGCCGATAAATGTTGTCTACGATAAAGGGTTTGTGTTGTTTTGAGCTTGGAGCAAGACTTGACCACAGAGTGCAAGGATGATCTAGAGATGGTCGAGATTCTAGGGTGAAGAATTCCAGCCGAAGAGAGAATTTCAGCCGAAAAGATTTTTAGGTCTAGAGCGTGACATTGAGCTTTTTTTTCCCCGTCAAATTTCACACAGGGTCGGTCGGGTCACAAGATAACATGGCCTTTTAGGTTCATGGTGGGTTTTGACCCAATCCTTTGAGTATCACGGCGGTGACCCGACCCTTATTTAATCCTATAGATAAATTGACCCGACTTAACCCTCAGAGTCGGGCGGGTCAAAGGGTTTTCATGGTCACTTTTTCAGCCCTGCCAGTAAGCCACTAAGACCATCCACAACGGCTTTCAGAAGCCTATTTCATTGTGAGGTGGCACAATTACATAGCTATTTCATGGATGTGGTCCATGGTTTCCACAATGAAATCTTCCATTTAATGAAATAGGAAACGAAATAGATGGTGGGGTAAACTAGCTGTCCCGTATCCACTTTTGCCAAATTCTTTCTTTTTTATACTTTTGTATGGTTGGAACATTTAGTTAAGACTAAAGATTAAACTAAAATATCAATTGGGCCCACCATATGAAATAGAAAGTGGCATGTCATTGATGTAGAGAAAATGAAATTGGTATCTAGTGGAATTGTAAAAGTTGTTGAGGTGATAGTAAGGACCACATATGAGATAGAAATTGTATTTCATGAATGTGGATGGTCTAAGCCAGCAGTTGCAGAGTGAGAGAGAGAGAGAGTGCTCAGCTAACCGGCGGTAATTATCTTCAACTTTTCTTCCCAAGCTTCGTACTTTGGCAAAGATTAGTTCCTAATTCTTCGTTTCAGATGATTGGTTGAATAGAATCTACAAATACCTATAAGCCAATGTCAATAAATGGCTTTTGCCACCTCAGCCTTTGCAACGCAGACCGCATATCGGGGAGGGTTATATTTGTATATTTTCTCTTTGGCTCTTCCCAGTAACTGCCGCTCTTTTTTTTTCCCTTTCCTTTTTCTTATATTATTGTAAACTTACATTCCAATAAATTACATACTCACCAACTCTAACTTTTTCCCCGTCTTTTTACAAGCCCACAAGCACAAGGTCCACAACCCCTAGGGCCTAGGCGAGTCATTAAGGTTTAAAACACCAAACTTTATTTATTTGGGCATATCAACAGATTTGCAACATTTTTATTTTTTTCCGTACAAATATATCATATTAGTTATTTCATCACATGATTTAGTTCAAAATAAGTATAGATTGCAATTTTGACCTCATCTATTTTACGGGACGTGTTTGATATGTGTTAGGTTGGGGCGGGCATGAGTATTCTACTTGATCTAACTCAGCTAATTCTCGACATGTTTTATCTAAATTGTATGCAATTTTTCGCAAATTACTTCGAATTTTACTTTTATTACTTTGTATTTTAGCTATAACAAAACGGTGGATATGTAAGAATCTTAATTTTACAAATTAATTTAACTACATTTGTCATGTTATATATTGTTTCTTGACTTTTCCATGTAAAGTTCACATTTTTTATATTTTCTCTTTAAAATTTAAAGTATATACCCATATGGGTCAACCTATCCTAACCCGCGCACGTAATAAATTTCCCGATCTGTCTCGATCGTAATAAATTTCGACAAGTATGGATACTTGCCTCGGTCTGCCCATTACCATTCCATAACAACAGAGATCCTTCTTTTTGTTTAAGATGGAATCTGAATTGTAGATTTCATATTTAGTTTTACCTTTTTCAAGTTTCACTAAGATAATTGTAATATTTTTTATATTAAATAAAATATTAGTACATTAGTATTATCATAGCCACATAAGATAATGTAAACGTTATTTCACAAAAATATAGAATTACTGGCCAAGCTTATGGAAGTAGATGAAGATCATGGAATTAATTTTTGTAGTCAATGTGATTTGGAAACTGAGTTTTAAGATATATGTTGGATTATAATCTTTTCGATTGGACTAATCAAATAATTCATATCTTTTCTATTTCGGTTAGAATTGAATTAGTTGGAAGGACTTACCAAGCGAAAGATACCTGATTTAGAAACACAATAATTTGAGATGCAAGAATATCAATAGCATATAATTCATTGCTCATGATAATCAATAATAATTCTTTTACTCAAGACTTATACGTTAATAAATTATAAATACGAAAGTTGAAGTTGTGAAATCATCACAAAACAAACACTTTTAATTACATAGTCATCGGGCAAACCCGGCCATAAGGCCGGGCCCTATGCTAGTGTGTAATAAACAGCTTTTCCCCCCTTCTCTTCTGTTCTGCAACCCTCTGTGACTCAGTGTGAGAATTGCGTCCTTTGTGCAACTCGTCTCATCTACAAAATTTCCTTCCAAGTCGATGCTCCAGCTACCCAATTTAATCGAGATTGATCCACTGCTTGGGCCGGAGCTTGACAGAGCCATTGTTCGATTAAATCCCCGTTTGCTTATTCCTCCAGCGACCTAGGTACAAACCATGGAAGCAAGAGAAGAAGCAGGTCTGTCGAAATCGACGGCGGTGTTATCCTGCACCGCCATGGCCTTGTTATACGTCGGGATTCTCTACACTCCCACTCTGATCCTCCGCCTCCCTCAACCTTCCTCCTTCAAGGAGTTCCTGCTCCGCCGATTCGTCTGCGCCGCCATCGCTTCCGTGGTCTCTGTTGCTGCCTGTGCTCTTATTCTGCCGGTCAGTGAGTTCCAGTTCCTCACCTTACCTAGACTGCAATTATATTGATCTTGTGGTTGCATTACTGTGATTTAGTGTGCGCTGTTACGATTAAGATTACATTTAATCGATTCTTGCCGCAGTAAATTGTTTTCTTCCTCTTTGAGTATTGCTAAATGCTTGATTGAGGACTGTCGCTGTTTTGTTTCCAATCGATAGAAGATTACAGTTAACAGTTAGTGCTTTTCGTAATAATGTTTGGTTGACCTTATCTACCCTTTCTATGGAATGGTAGGTGAACATCAAGGAGATACCTTCTCTTTTAGGCATCTATGGAGTTCGAATGGATCATGTTGTGAGTATTTACTTCAGTGTATAGTGAATATGCTGCAGATGAGCTATGGTTTTGCAGAGTCATAAGGACGACAGATTGCTAAACTATTCTTGCCGAAACTATTTTATTTTGTGTAACAGTGGCAAGCTGTTGTCTACCCTCTTTGCTTGACTTCCTTAATGTACGCGGGATCAATGGTCCTTAAGCTTTTGTTGGTGGTGGAAGCAATGAAGGAACATATGGATCGAGGTGGAGGTGTGCTTGATTTTGCTCGAGATCTACTGCAAAACTTTGGTTCTTGGGTCTCTTCAGCCGTCTCTAATATCTTGGCTTGGCGTAATTTGATTGTGGTCAGTTTGTTAGCTATGTAATTCTTGCAGTTGGTTAAATGCGTCGAAATTTTGGATTATTGAGGAACAAACTCCCCATTTTTCTTTACTTGGATGCTAGATATGCAGTATTTAGTTGATGGAATGGACAGTACTTGGTTTCCATAGTAATCGGTTCGGTTGAACTTCTTGGTGTACAGGCGCCAGTGACTGAGGAATTGGTGTTTAGAGCATGTATGATTCCTTTACTCCTGTGTGGAGGATTCGAGCCCTACATTGTCATTGGCCTGTGCCCTATTCTTTTCAGCTTGGGTAAGTTCAATTGTTCAAGTCTTTAGTACTGCTGTACATTGATGATTTGGTTATTGCTTCATTTGGTTTGTCTGAAGTTCGAAGTAGAATATTATTTGGATTTCATGCTTAAGTAAAGTGCCTCTTTCATCGTCATATTTTGCAGCACATTTGAACCATTGGATGGAGATTTACTGCCAGCAGAACTACAGTGTGATTAAAGCATCCATGGTTGTAGGTAAATAAGCCTCTCAATCCGAATTAAGTTTAGATGACGTGTCATGTGATATCTATTACTAGATTATCGGGTATGGAGTAAGGCCTGGTTTTCTCATTCTTGCAATTATCCTTCAGTTTTTTGGGCACGTTAATTGGAAAAAAAGATGATTAACCAGACACTTCCACCTGATGACAAAATGCAAACTTGTTTATTTGCTAGGTCTCCAACTCAGCTACACTGTGATTTTTGGTTCCTACGCCTCATTACTATTCATTCGAACAGGTGAAATTTTCTCGCCTTAATAGACTTCCGAATGATGTATTTATTTCTCAGATAACTTTCTTCTCCTAATGATCTATTCTGATGCATCCCGGCAGGACACCTTGTTAGCCCGTTACTTGCTCATGTGTTTTGCAATTTCATGGGGTTGCCAGTGTTTTTTGCAAGGAAGAAAGGTACATAACTTCAACCCGATGTGTGGATTTACTCTGAATCCAGCTTACGTTTTCTTATAGCTAACATCGTATTGTTTCAGGAGGGATGGTGGCTTTGGTATTTGCAGCCGGAGTTATATCTTTTATCTGGCTCCTTTTTCCACTAACACAACCAGATTTGTACCATGAAAGAACAGATGATTGTCGATGTTGGCACGGATTCTGTTCCTGGAATTAAAGTCTGTTCAGGATTTTATTTACTTAGAGGGTTGCACTTAGCTGAATGATTTTTGGACTTTTCTGAATCGATTATGCTTTGTTCCATCCAATGAGCATTAATTTGGGGTTGATAACCCTTTGATCCCCGAGGGCGCACTTGAACTGGGAGATGCGAGTGAAGAGATGGAAAGGGGGTCGAGATTGTTGGAAACGAACCTTTTGAGGTACAGTTCTTTCCGTGCAGGAACGGGCACCTGTTATAGACTGAGATTCAGCTTACCGGCCAGGTATCGTGATACTAACAACCATCATACAATTGTTGCTTTTGATTGAGAAAACAACGTTTGTGTTTCCTGACAGTTTGCTGTTTGCGACTGCTCGTCTGTCTTTGTGCGACCAATTGAAATGACGGTTCTCTTCGTGGACGATCTATGCCTGCACGTTGTATTTTGGTCTTTGTTACCTTCTAGGGCCAGGAACGTCTCTTTGGTCCCTTACTCATCCTCTTCTCCCGCTCTTGCTTCTACTTCGCTTGTGGCAACGAAGTTGTCCTCGACTTCTTCTTTGCATGGTAGCTATCGGCATTAGCTGCAGCGATCTTTGAGCTTCTACTTCGTCGTCAGATTCCTCCGGCGGTGGAGCCAATTGGGTGCCTTTCTGCAATGATAGCCTGAGTGTACATGCTAGAGTGGGTGCTATCCATTGGAAGGTTATAAGCAAGGTTGTCAACCCGCGGGTCGATCCGGATTCGATGTTAGAAACCGATTTCTGTAGGGTTTCTCTATTTATTAATATAATTATTATTAGAGTAATTTTCAATAAGGTTAGTAGTCTTTTAGTAGAAGTAGGTTTATTCTTAGGGTTTTTCTAGTATTTTCCTATATATATGTACTTTGGGTCTTTCATCAGATTAAGCAGAAGTTAATAAAGAATTATCTCCCTAAATTCCTATCACAATCCTCTCAATTCTTGACCTCAATCTCTCTAAAGGCTTAGGCCGATTCTCTTCTATTCTTCCCCAAATTCTATTCAAATCCCTAAATCCCCAATTATATTCTATAAACTCTAAATTCTCAATCTCTAGATCTGATCTAAAAACCCGTTAGAAACTTTGTTTCTAACATTTGGTATCAGAGCACGGTTTCGAGAATTGAGTTTTTCACAACTCTCAACCGTAGACGAGTTCTACAACTGGTTCGACGATGAGCTCTTCAAGACTCTCGGACCTGTCATGGGCGGAACTGCGGGAACGGGCTCGCCGCATCGGACGTCGTTGGATCCCCGAGGAGCTACCGCTCGCGCAGGAAGAAGATCATGCCACCATCAAAAGCACCATCACCACCGTCGCACTACCGGAGTCGCGAGAGCCAAAGCTGGATGTGGGTTCTATCCTTGGAGAAGAAGTTGTTGCCCTAGCTACAATCAAAGATGCAGCAGAGAAGCAGTCGTTGACAGTGGGCAAGAAGGCGGCTGACGAGGATGAAATATCTGCCAGATTTATTCCGGCTGCTGTCGAGGAAGGAGATCAAGAGAGGGTGGTCGCTGTCACCATCGATGACGAGCAGTTGGCCGGGGCTAGCGTCGGGTCCGACGGGACATAGCTGGACACCGTCTTCGACCTAGTACGCGAGGTCGAGGCGACGGCGGAACGCTAGGTCTCTTCGCCGGAGGCGCAATTGATGTTGGCCCCTGCCTCGTTGTCAAACTCCCAGCGGATGAAGCAGGTGAAAACCACACCTGTTGAGGAGGAGAAGAAGAAGAAGAAGAAGAAGAAGAAGAAGAAAGGTTTCCAAGAGCCCCATGTCGCTCGAGGAGATCGGAGGTCGCGGCAGAGAAAAGCTCCGGAGGAGCATGGGAAGTCGATTCCAATGGCGGCTTCCCTCGTGGAAACTACCGGCGAGAAGAAGGAGGAGGAGTCGAGGGCGGGGACAGTTCCTGACGTGATTCGTATCCGCCGAGGGGTTTGTTTATTGGCGGATAAGGGGACGGCGAGGATGGGAGGTGCGCGCAGGGAGAAGGAGTCGGGGTCGACTTCTCCTGACCGGATGCACCGCAACTCGCCGATGAATAAAGAAACTGAAGAGGCGCCGCGGTCGCTGTCATCTCCATGTGCCACGGCGACAGCCAGGAACAAAGAGAAGGAGCCGGGCTTGACCTTCGGTGGTTGGGCGAGCGGGTCGACGACGACGAAAGGATCGTCGTTGGGGAAGAAGCTGCCGTCCAGAAGAAGAGGGACGGTGAAGGTGACGAAGGAGAGCGGCGCTGTCCTTCCGCTCGTGAACCCTAGGCATGGGGCCTTCTCCTTGGGCCGAGTCAGTTAGGTCGCGAGTTTCAGTGGGCCAGTCGAGGTATGCTTCGGCCACGAGAAGACGAAGATGGGCCGAGGTGATCTGAGACTAAAGTTGGGGAAGGAGGAGAGTGAATGGGCTCGAGCAAAGTATGGGCCACGCAAGAGAGGCTTAATGTGGAATCTCTTGTACGGTGTTGGGCTCAGGTCAACAAGCCCAATTACTAAAGAAGGCTGCTGCAGGCTGGCTCGAGTAAGGGAGGACGACACGACGAGGAAGGAGAAGACAGAGAAGGAGATTGAAGACTCTGTTGGCACTTATTTATTGGTCGGGTCAAATTTTAGCAGGGGAATTGGGCCATGGATGAGCTCGAGTAGTCAAAAGCCTACCTTGGTGAGTGAGAAAATGATGGGAGTTGGGCTAGCTTTCGAGGACTTGGAGGAAGGGAGTCGATTCACAGGAGCTGACAAGGCAAGAAGTTCAATATCAGAGTTGGAGCACGATTGGAAGAAACGGAAGCGCAAGAAATGGAGTCAGCGTGCAGAGTGCGCGAGAAGGAAGTAAGAGTGGGTCAAGTGGTTCAACCTTGAGGGCAAGGTTGGTCTGAAGGGGGAGGAGATGTTAGAAACCGATTTCTGTAGGATTTCTCTATTTATTAATATAATTATTATTAGGGTAATTATCAATAAGGTTAGTAGTCTTTTAGTAGAATTAGGTTTATTCTTAGCGTTTTTCTAGTATTTTCCTATATTTATGTACTTTGGGTCTTTCGTCAGATTAAGCAGAAGTTAATAAAGAATTATCTCCCTAAATTCCTATCACAATCCTCTCAATTCTTGACCTCAATCTCTCTAAAGGCTTAGGCCGATTCTCTTCTATTCTTCCCCAAATTCTATTCAAATCCCTAAATCCCCAATTATATTCTATAAACTCTAAATTCTCAATCTCTAGATCTGATCTAGAAACCCTTTAGAAACTTTGTTTCTAACATTCGACCTTGAAAACGGGTTAAAATAGCTCATTTGAGAGTTAGTGCGGAAATGGTCAAACTCGAAAAAATCCAGTCCAACCTGGACGGTTGGCCTTTCCAAGCGGGTCAGCGGGCTGCTTGTTCCAAACTGTCGTTGAATTTTTACTATGATGAATTTATGTTGATGTTATTTAAGTGTGTTGGAATTTAAGTACGGTTGTTTTTTTTATGTTTGATTCAAAATAAGTACAATATAATGACTTTTTCATATTTTTGGGCTAAACCGAGGTAAAACGGGTGACCCATTAACCCTTGACCCACTAGATCGACCGGGTCTGGGTCGACCCACGGGTTGGCAACCTTGGTTATAAGCCAATCGTGAGAAAGAAAGAATTGCCTTTTTTTTATAAGTCAATCCATTGGAAGGCAAACTAGCTCCCCCAACCCCATTCCTGCCCACTCCAACCCCTACAAAATCTGGCAGAACATTACCAGACCAAATTCCTCCCATTCTGCCACTTAACTATGATATTGATGCATCAATAGTGAACTATGGTACTGGAAATGATCAAACACTACCCAGTTCCTATACTTCCAAATACGACATAACAACGAAACCAACCATAGAACTCCACTACCAACCCATCCCTTACAATCGTAGCTTTGGAGAAACAAGTACATTCACTTCTGACAATCCATGTCGCAAAGCCATCAACACCGACTGTCGTCAAAGGTCCATGGCGATTGGACAATGCAGAAACAAATGCTCTATGAATTTCATATCAGCCCAACAAGCCGAGCACCGCAGATTGTAATGTACACATCGTAGGCAGAATTCGTCAAAGAAACTACCACACAAAGAATCGCAGCTTCGGCGGGATATCAAAGCCCCAAACCCTCTTCCAGAACGCATAATCAAACCAAGAAACCTCCACCTATCTTGTTTGCCAGGAAACAGGCCTGTAAACACTCCTAACACCACTCGCCCGATTCTCCATCTATCAAACTTTCCACCATTTGATTATAAACAACTAGAGCTTATGGCAAAGGAAGGAGCGGCTGCCACTGCAGACCTGGACCTAAAAATCCTCACATATCCTCGCATCAGTCCTACTTCGCACTTGCCATCTCAATCCTTGCACTAGTAAATGTCTGTCCTCCAAAATATCCTGCCACCCCCAAGAAGGCCAGAACCTCGCCGTAGCACTAAAAAAATCTGTCTTAGGATAGTACTTTCCTTTGAGAACCTTCGCCAACAACGAGCCCGACTAAGTATGTAGATGCCAACCTATATTAGCGAGAAGAGCCTTATTCATCAATTCAAAGATCCTAAATCCAAGACCACCATCATGTTTACTCCGACACAGGTTTTGCAAGAACACTCATGTCGGTTTTACCTGTGTCGGAGCCCCATCAAAATCTAGCCATATGCTTATCAAGTTTTCTGCACACCGCCAAAGGGAAAATAACACATGCCATCACATAAATTGGCAGAGTAGAAGCAAGTCTCCTTAGCAGCCCATGAAAGGTGGCGCTGCTTCCACCCTTGTAGCTGTGCCAGGAGCCTTTCTTGAACAAACCGGAATGTCTGTCTTTGATCTGTGAACCAATGTTGGAAGCCCAAGATACTTATCAAAAACACTAACCGCCCCAACCCCTAAGATAAGGGCCATCTGCTGCCTTTCCTCAGTCAGAACATTCTTACTGAAACAAACAACTGACTTCTCTAAATTCATATTATAGCCACTTAAGATCTGGTATTCATGTAGTACCCCCATCAAATTCTCTTAGTGTTGAGCCGACCCTTTCATAAATAAATATGAATCATCTGCAGCGAACAGATGCAAAATGCGCGGGTACTGCATACTCACTTTAATCCCTGACAATCTCCTTGCCGCAATAGATTGTCGCAGTAAGGCCGGAAATCCTTCCGTACAAATGGCAAACAATAGCGGAGATAGGGGGTCACCCTGTCGCAGACCATGTGCTGCCCAAAAATATCCAGAAGGCCTTCCATTCATTAAGATCGAGAAAGAAGTTATGTCACCATTTCCTTTATCCCATCAATTCATAATGCACGAAAACCCAACTTCTCTAAGACGGTGAACAGAAAAAGCCATTCAACCCGATTATAGGCTTTTTTATATCAACCTTTAGAGCAATATAATCTTTCTTGCCCCGCTTCTTAGTCTTAAAATAGTGCATCATCTCATGGCCAATAAACACATTATCCACAATCTAGCGATCCCTGACAAAACCATTATGCTCCTGGAGATAATACGAGGCAGAAGTTTTGCCATTCTTTCAACAAGAATTTTGGAAGTGATCGTTACCACCATTTGGCACAAATTAATAGAGCGAATTTGTTTTATTGATGACACCGACTCCACTTTTGGAACTAATGTTAACCATGTGTGATTAAAGCTATTGAGCAAACGACCACCGACGAAAAAAGATTTGAATCGCTTCAACCACCGAGGAACTAACAATGTCTCAATAATTTATATAAAAATTTCCAGTAAAACAATCCGACACAGGCTCCTGCATCAAACCAATAAATAAGACTGCCCTTCTAATCTCCTCTGCAGAATATCATCATACACAACCCCAGTAGGGCCATTCTTACCATTCCGATGAGCATCCATTTGAAATTGGGATTTACCTTTCCCCATCTCCACATTACCA